AAATTCAATTCGTGAATTGCCTTTTATTCTCCGTGTTCCCGCAAAAAATCGTAGAAATGTGGATGGAAAAGTTTGAAGATTTTAGTAGATCTCAAATGTCACTGTATAAAGACATTGTATTAAACCAGCAAAATATAGTACAAATTTTACATTAAAATTTGATAAATTATAGTTTCTATCAAAATATGATCTGTTATATCGAGGACTATTACAAAATTTTGATTCAGTTTCTTTCTTTCACTACATTGTAAATTTTGCAACATTGATTTTTCTTCTTTAAAAATTTCGAACAAACATTTTCCACGAAAGTTTCCTCGGCTTTGAAGAATCATAGTACGAGGTACACCTATTTACGAATGTCGAAGATAAAGAAAGTTCGATGAGGTTCTTAAATTCCAACGGGAGAGATGCACTTTATTTTCCAAAACTCATCTGCAACTCCGCGCAACTTTTAATCGTTTAAAAATTAAAAGTATATTACTTTTACCGGGGGAGGATCGTATCCTTCGAGGCCGGCATCCAATTCAATTTTCTAAGTGTCTTAAAATACGCTTCGCGGAAACTAACTTCCAAAAGTTAGAACGAACGGACATGATGTAGCGAAGAAAAAGTTTGTCGATATATCAGACTACCAATTTCACGTTTAATATACTGAAATTTTTACGAAATGCATGAGCAATCAAATTTCAATTTCCAGATTGACTGTGGACTGTATATTGAGATAAAGAAACAAAAAAAAAAAAAACTCACAATCGAGGGTTCTCCGTTGAAAGTTAGAAATCATAAAAACGTGCTTACTTTATTTTAACACAAGTTCGATTACCATTAATTCCACTACAAGTGAAAACAAATGTTGTCAACTATTGATTACTTAAAGTCTTTCCAAAATCCATCAATATCGAACGAATTTCCACAAGTGCAAAAATAAGAACTAACAACGTCGGAAATAAGAGCCATTTGTCTGGAAAAGCACGCAAAAAAGTATTCAGACATCAGCGATTCAGACATCGAAACATCTTCACGGTGTCTATCTGCTCGCGAGAGTGAAGTTTAAATACTTCTCAGAAATGAGATCTTAGAACTGGAGCGGTAATCCTGCCGCGACAAGATGGTGCATCGACTTAAGCTTCTTTCCTGCACCTTGTTTCGCGTTCGCTCTTCATAGGATAAATATAGCGAAGGGAACGGGAAAGGAACAAGATGTCGCTTCCGCTTCCGTCGTGAGGATACTCGAGGATGCTCTTGCAGGAAAAGTTTCCCAGGGTCTCGTCGAGTTCGTCGGAACTTTTTTCCGCGTTCTAAGCTGGCCGGAAGTGTTCAAGGGTCGGGGAGGGGGTGGCGAGCGTGCGACCTTAAGGCAGTCTAGACAATTCATTCGAAATCGAAGCAATCTCGCGGAAACCCGAAACCAATTTCGAAAGAATTGCATTCTAAAACCATCCACGTGCTAGCTACGGGGCCAAACAGCCGACCATCGGGCGCGCATACGATCGGAACGTCGATCCGGCCGAGTACCGGAACTTGTCGAGGAGTTGGTGGTCGAGGTAGATATCTCGCTAAGTCAAGAACAGGGAAACGGCCCCAGAGGTATTCCAATTCCCTCGCCTTCTTATTCTTTCAATCAGCGAGCCCGATTTCGCGGACGGTTTCTCGCACGCGTTGTCTTCAATTCAAACGAGAGTGATTCGGAAACGACTGCGTTATAATTTATGAATTACGCGTCATTTCGTTTTCGAAGCTTTCCAATGCCATCACACCGATTCACTTTGAACAGAATTCTGAGTTTCGTGAATATCTAATAATAATTCTGTACATATACGTGCGTATGCAGAAAGTTTGAAGAAGCATGTAGAAGAATCCCATATTTATCCAACATTGCGTACAACTGTTAAACGACAGAAATGATTATTCTCGTCAATCTCTAATCTGGTGAAACTTGTTTCTCATAAATACTTCGTTGAACAAATCATCAATTGTCGTTATTTACTTGTCACACGAGGTTCACATTGCCGAATGAAATATGAAGTTCTTTGGGGACGCGAACGGTTACAGATATTCGAATATTATTCAATAAAGAAAGTTTCAGTTGAGACGCGCAGGCCGCTTTTCCGCGTGACGAGAACGTCTTTCTGGAATACGACTTGACGATCGTCGCGTCGATTTAAATGCAAGCGCGACGGTAACGGAAGCAGGCTGCCGCGTCGAGCTCCCATTTTTCTTCGTGCCTTTTGATTGTCGGGGCGTGCGGCGGCATACCGAAAGCATCCGCCAGAG